CCCTGTGGCCGCGGCCGGCAGCGCACCGCGGGGCGGAAGCGGGAGGGGGCGGGGAAACAGGCGGCGGGCGGGCGGGCGCTGCGCCGGGAGGCTAACTGGGACCGCAGTCAGCACGTCAGGCCTCTCCGGGGTTAAAAAAAGACAAACCCAACCAAAAAAGCTTCCTTCTACCCTCTACAGCTTCCTCTCCGCCTCTCTGTTCAGTTTTTGCACCTCCTCCTTCCTCCCCCTCCCCCAGAGTGATTTCTGTCCTTTGGGTTTGAGAGTCTTGGGTTAATAGGGGCAGTTCAAAAATCTCCGTGACCTTGTTTTGGTCGAACTGAAATCGTAAAACTAAAATTTCCTTTAAGTACTCTAAATTCGCGAGCCTACAAATGTAAGATGAAGATGAGGTAGGAGAAAAGGAAAAGGACGTGTGGGAGGCCTACGATACAGGCATTTTCTCTTGTTTTTAACTTACCTAGTTCCTGTCACCCAACACAAAAGAAAAAAAAAAAAAGAGTACAAAAGGAGTTGAAATAATACCTCCCCTTTAAAAATTTGTCCACACAGAGAACTGAAATGCTTAAAATCAAGTTCTGCAGGGTAGGCTTTAAAAAAATCTCCCCAGGTCAAAAACAGTTACCTGCCTTCTAGAAGCATGTATATATTGTTACAGTGTATGTTGTCGTCTTGATTACAGATTGCTGGTGTTTTAAAATTGAGTTTCTTTTTTTTTTTTTTTAGAGACAGAGTCTCACTTAATTGCCCTTGGTAGAGTGCCGTAGCATCATAGCTCACAGCAACCTCCAACTCCTGAGCTTAGGCGATTCTCTTGTCTCAGCCTCCCTAGAAGCTGGGACTACAGGTGCCCGCCACAATGCCGGGCTAAATTGAGTTTCTTTTAACTCAAAAGTTGTCTGGCACTAATTGCTGAAAGTGTGTAATTGAAAACATTCTCTTTTCTAGATTAGTCACTTACTGATTCAATCCTTCCCAGGAAAATATTTTTTATGTGCCTAAAATGTTAGTCACTGGTTAAACCCGATGATCAAAAAGCAATAACTGTACTGAAAAATTACACAGTCTAGTGAGAGAGACATGCTTAGATGTCATTAAAGAACAAAACAACATCAAGCAAAGCAGAACTCAGAGGAGAAAGTAATTAATTGAAGTCAGCAAGTTTTCTGAATTTCAAAGAATGAATAAGATTTGGAAAAGAAGGGGCTAGGGGATGTTCCCGGTGGGAGAAATAGGAGAAATAAAGACCCAAAGGCAGGGTTTAGAAGTTTAGGGATGGGGATTTGGTAGCTAATGGAGCTTGTTGCCCTTCAGGACAGGAGGCAAAGATGCTAGGAAGAGTTAGGGCGCTTTGTGGTTTGCGGATGGATGCATGTTGATTTCATTGATTGCACACTGGAAGCAGGAAGAGGCCAGATTGGGAATGGAAGAGATAATGAGTCTTTATTTTGAACTGTTTGCAGTACACATAGAGAGAGAGGGGCAGCCTTAGCTCATAAAATACGCATTAAGAATCGAAAATATGCATTTGGGAACTGGGGTATTTGTTGATGGCTCAAGCCCAAAAGGTAGATAAGAATGAGTAACTCTGAAGAGTGCTTACTGGTAGATAGAGATAGAGATAGAGATATTCAGGACCCCTGAGAATAAGCAGTCAAAGGGAGAGAAGATTTAAGAAAGAGCCTGGAAGCCAAGAGAGAGCATTTTAACCATTCCACTCATTAAGACCTACTATGTGCCAGGCATTATGCTGGGGACTAGAGATACCAAATGAATAAGACACATAGGGCTTATAAATGAAAAGAAGAAAAATAGATATGCAAACAGATCGATTAAAGTGCTATAGAAAGAGAGAAAGTGGTCCATGATTCATGAAGAGCAGAAGATGGAGTTTCTAGAAAGTGCTGCTGAGTAATCCCAGAGGATCTGGACTGGAAAGAAGATACTGAATTGATCATCTGGGAGGGTATTAGTGATCTTGGCAAGAGAAGTCTCCATAAAAGTGGCAAAGTAAGCTTAAAATGGCATAGGAAGTGAATGGAAGGCAGTCATGAGGGGCTGGGCAACTAAAAATTATTATTTTCTGTTTTTTGTCAGAGACTTAAAAGAGGATAGTAGCCTGAGGAGGAGGTTTTAAACTTTTTCAGTAAAAAAAAAAGTTGCTGTTCATGTGTCATTCAGCTTCATAGATAGCTCCTTTAGATCTGAGATACAGTTACTGTCTTAGATCTTAGACAGATAAGGAAGGGGGCAGGTGCCCTACAATGGAACACTGAGTGCGGTCTATATATGGTGGTAAATAGAGGCTGCTGTGGGAGAATCTAATGACATCTACCCAGGCTATGTAGGTTATAGAAGTGGTTCTGGGTTAAGTGACATTAGAGCTGAGGCCTGAATGATGAGCCTGGGGGTGGGGAGCAGTTTCCAGGAAGAAGGCAGTGCATGTGCAAAGGCTCAGAGGAAGCAAGACCATGTTGCAGAGGGAACTGAAATCAGTTCTGTCTGGCTGTGACTTAGAGTGGGGTGTGGTGGCAGGGAGACGCATAAGTTTTAAAGCAGAGCAATAATCTATTCAGATTTGCATTTTATAAAGCTCTCCAGCTGTAGTAAAGCTGGGAGATGAGAGACAGCCTATTACTCTTTTTTTAAACAAATGTATTTGTAGTTTGATAATGAAACATCTTGTATGAGTCAGGGTCAAGGCAGGAAACATATGTCGTACTCAAAAGCGTTTAAATCAGGAAGGTGTGATGAAAGAACTCTATACAGAGTTGAGAGCAGGGTAAGGGACTCACAGTCTAGCGGGAAGTTGAAAAGACAAGCGGATAATATCCTGATTTCTCTCATCTACTTTCTGATCTCTCGCTGGCAGCTCCCATGATCCAAAACCAACTAAAGAGAAGGAAGAAGCCTGGGAGATATTTCATAGAGGACAGTGCAGGGGACAAAGCGCTGAAGGGTAGAGAATGGATGGAGGTAGGGCCAGCACACACCCATTTAGTCAAGGTTCACAAGCTGAAAACACTCTAGATATTTCAAAAAGCAAAGGGATTTCATTCAAACAATTCAGTGCTTCTGAAATCCTGGGAAGAGCAGGAAGGATGGAAGTCAGCAGACTACTGAGTTCAAAGTCACGTCACTTGTGGTAAACATTACTTGTGGTCACTAATATCTGCTCCACATTTCCCAGTCCCCCTATCATTAAGTGGGGTCTTGTGACTAGTTTTAGCCAGAAAAGAAGAGAAGAAGTAATGTGTCACTTCCAGGATGAGACAAGAAAACGCCTTTGAAGAGTTTCCTGGACTTTCTTCCCCTCCACAAAGTCACAGAGGAGACTTTGGGTTAAGATGTAGTAGCCACAAGATTGAAGCAGCCCAGATCTGAGTCAGCATGCAGAGAGCAACTGTTTGCTCTGTTACTCCCTCATCCTTGCAGCAAACATTTTGTCCACCAGACAGAAACTTTTCTTGAATTACATATTAAAAAACAAAAAGTAACAGGCTGTCTCCCATCTCCCAGCTTTACTACAGCGGGAGAGCTTTATAAAATGCAAATCTGAATATATCATTGCTTTGCTTTAAAACTTATGTATCTCCCTGTTATATCCCTGCTACCACACCCCGCTCTAAGTCACAGCCAGACAGAACTAATTTCAGTTCCCTCTGCAACACGATCTTGCTTCCTCTGAGATTTGGGGATTGCTTATTACTACAGCATAATGGTAACCTATTCTGATTAAAATACAGTGTAGCTGGGATGAGAAGCTGACAATGGAACCCTGCTGGGACTGCTGCCAACACTGCTGGCTTTCATACTGTGAAGACTATGAGGAGTCTGAATGCCACATACCTGTCATCACACCTTGCTTGCAAGTGACACAGCAGCAGGAAGACAGCAGGCATTTCACTTGCACCTGTTTTTTCATAAGTACATTTGGCAGGCCTTATTTGCACCTAGAACTTGAGCAGGAAGGGAATCTGAGAAATGTGATTCCCAACTTTCCAACGTTTTCCAATAGGACTGTGGAATGCGACTCGAAGTAGCAGGTCTAAGTCTCTTCTCCATTGTTTCTCAAAGGCAGGGAGTGGTTTGCTAATTATCTTTGTCTGTTTTCTATCTGGCCCAGTACCTGGTGAGTATTCAATAAATACTTCTTGAAATCTGAATTTATGGACCAGTGCTAAATGTTACCTCTCAGGTAACACAATAAGACTGCTAGACGTGGTGCTGAGACTACCTGCTGGCAGAGATTTCACAGTACGTTCTTACAGTACCCTCTACTATGAGATGAGACTAGTGGAGACCTCCAATAAAAAAGGGAGGGGATGTAGAAAAGAAAGCAACCATACCAAACAATTACAGACTAATTTTGTAAGTTAAAATTAGGCTCAGCTACAAATGAAAGAAAACTCAAAACAACAGTGGCTTAAAGACAGGAGCTCATCTCGTACTTAAGTCAGGAGATAAGTCTAGAGCTGGTATGGGAGCTCCATCATCATCAGAGACCCAGGCTCTGTTGTTCTATCATCTTTATATGTGGTTTTCACACTGTGGTCTAAGATTACTACTGCCCAAGAGCCACCCTTTATTCCTTCCTCCCTTCCTCCCTTCTCCTCCTCCTCCTCCTCCTTCTTCTCTCTCTCTCTCTCACACA